CTGGCATACTGCTAAAAAGATGGGCATATAAGAACTGGGAAGGCAAAGAGCTTGCTTTGATTCTATCATACAGGGTTAGAAGTATGCAAATAAGACCAGTGAGGTCAAAAAAGGTGTAAATGTATGTCATTTTATAGTCTTTTTAACATAATGATTTTAAGAATTAGGAGAGCCAAAAGAACGGCTCCAATTCAGTCTCTAGTTTTATCAAGGAAAAAATTAATCCTATCCCAGAACTAAGAAAGTTTAAATTAAAAAGATACATATCTGGATTCAGGTCCACATCAAAGATTCAGATAATATATTAGAATTTTAGACTCTTTTATTATAAGCTCTCAAAGTAAAACGCAGAAAGATGTCTTAAGTATTCTTAAGAGTCAGACCTTCCACAAGCAGGTTTTCAGTCTTAAAACAAAAATTTCAGGTTTATTTTAATCATTCGTTTAACTCCAGTCTCTCCTTGTAGATTCTGAGATGCATTATTATCACGGGCTGCCCTTTCAATTATAAATCAAATCACACTTTTATTACTGTACTAACAAAGCTTCTTGGGCTATAAAAGAGAGCAGATGGGATGATTAACAGCAGCAGCTGTTACATCAATGTCCGGGAAATTACATGCATACCATAAATGAGTTTTAAACTTTACATGCCTCACTTTCCCAATTCTTTAATGCTCCTCTTTTTGCCTCCAACATGCAACAAAAAATATGAAGATAAACTTAAATCAGTAAGATGCTATTGAAATCATGTGTCTATTTTGATGACATTTAGCTAATCAACTTTATTAGTTTGATTTAGACCAGTTTTAGGGTTAATTAATTTAAATTTTGTAATCCATTATTAGATTTTGTGGGGTTTTTGATTCTTTAAGTAATTTCAGTTTACAAAATGCTTAACTGTTCTAAGTGTTTTACAGGTAGGTATTCTAATTCGAGCCTCATAAATATGGAGGTAAATACCATTATTATTCACATTTTACAGGTGAAACTGTACATAGTAATTAAATACTTTGCCCAAGGTTAAACTAGCAAATAATAGAGTCTGGATTTAAATCAGACTTCAAAGCCCATGCCCTCAATTACTTTATTCTTCGGTGTTGTTCCTTAAGATACAGAAGCAAAGCAATCCCTTATCTTCTCACATAGACTCACAACTAAAGCATGCGGTAGAATATAATTTGTATTTAATGGCTATTTAACAAGAAATTCACAGCTTAACTCATGAGGGCTCTTTGGGTCTTGGCTTCCTGAGGATTAACAGCAAGACAGGCAGCTCTAAAAATGGCTCACAGGTGGCATTTTAGTTTCCTCAGCAACTCGTTTCTCCTGAATTAAAACCTAAAAAATAATTATGCTTCTGTGGTAGAACAAAGTCATTCTAAGCCCCTACTCCCCACCTTAGCTGGAAATTAGACAAATTATTTTACAATCTTACAAGAAAGAAGTATTGATGCATCTGTAATATGGTGAGTTCAATCAAATCATAGCCTCTTCAACTTTCTCAGGCTAACTCTAGAAAATAACTCCTCAAATAAGGACCTTTCAAGGTCCTTATTTGAAAATAAATCATCATTTGCCTATGTGACCAATCACTTTCAGCACCAGAGTTTCTATTTTCAGATATTCAGTGTGAATATCTACATCTTAGCAGTTATCAACAGTAGCTGTTCTCCATGGCTTATGAGAGAACTACTAAAGAGGCTCAAGATTTGTTTTAAATGAATACAGAGAGACTAAATTAGCAGCAAGAGTTATTTCTCAAAATAACAGATTTCACTAGGCAGTCTGAGATGTTACATTAGCATCAGTGAGTTTTTTGAGCTTGGATTATGGACTCCATGCCTGAATACTGTACAGGGAAATTCTAATGATTGTCATAGAAGATATTTCCTAGAATGTTAACCTTTTTCTGACATGAGACAACTCCCAACGTTTTCGGACATATTGTGTAAAGAATTTAAAGCTGTTTTATTTAGTCACTCATATACTGAGTAGCTACTATGAAGAGAAGCATTATCCAAGACAGATGCATAAATTCACAGACAAATCGCTGAAGAAGTTTTCAACCTGGAACGAACTGTACCAAGTGGTATGAGTCAGTATTCTTACAAAAGTCCCAAACATCTCCACTGGTTCCAGGACTGATTACTGATTTCCACATTCCACATGCAAAGATTAGTTTTCCCCAGCACCAAACTCTTATTAGAAACCTCGCTATTACTATGGAAAACACCATTTCTTCCACACATTTACAGATATGCTCCCACTAAGACACTTAGGACACATCTCTTTAAAAGGGACAAAGCTTTCGGTCTTTGTAGTGATTCATCTGGCAGGGCCTTTTTTCAACCGACCTCTGCCACAATTTTTCTAGCGATCAGAGCAGTCAACCTAGCTCTTATAAAATAAACTAAGATCCAGAAAGGGCCTTTGGTAATTACCATAAGCGTTGAGCTAACGAAAGCGTTTGTGGGCGGGTCACTATGCTGGGCCACTCCAGATAACATTATGCATCCCAGAAGCAGTAAGGCTAGAGAAAGTCTGCACTCCATCCCCTAATCTTGACCTATCAGGAGACAACCGGCAAAACAGCCCCGGGAGTCTGTGAGGTCACCACACCGCAGAGCCAAGTGCCGACCTCGGGGGCTCTTCGCAGTCAGGGATCTAGCGGAGAAGCCTCCATGCCACTCATCACCTTTCCCCCAGCGGCTGGGAAGCCAGACCCTACGTCTTGGCATTCATTCAGCGCCCTGAAGCCACGACTACTGTCACGAAAGCAAGGTCTCGCCAGGCCCACTCTGCCCAGCCTTTCTCTCCATTTGGGGCGCCCGTCCGCCCCCTGGTCGCCCCAAAGGGTGCGAACTCACAGCCGCCGCGGCGCCGGTGAAAATATCCTCCCCCTCGGTGTCGCTGTCCCCAGCCTCAGGTTCTGACCCCCCGGCCGCCCCCTCGGACTCCGGCTCCGGGCCGGGGAAGGGCGGAGGGAGTCTTTCCGAAGCGCTACAGCCACCACCACCCGACGCCATCTTCCTCCACCCGCGGCGGAAGCCGCAACAACAACTTTATAGAGAGATAGTGCCGCGAGCAAATCGTTCTAGCTAAACGAGGAGTGGGATGGCTCCGATCAACCCGGTGGGACGCGCGGGACTGGGGCTCAGGGGCGGGGCCTAGGCACTGGGGGCGGGGCGAGGACAGCTCGCGGCTCCTGCCCAGCAAATCCCGGCCCTGGATCGCAACTCAAAGGGGCAGGAAAGGAGGAGCCAGGGGCTGCTCAGGTTGCCAGGGCCCTTTGTGGTTTGTATAGCTTTATCTAACACGCTTTATAAGATGTCGTTTGAGTAAACGAGTCTGAAAACCTCTACTACGTACCCATGCCAAGCACAGTGCCTTCAAAGAGCCTCAATAAATATTTCTGATTGCGGTCTCTGAACATATTGCGATAAAGTTTCGCCATTTATTCTTTGTAAAACATTTAGTTAATTCATTCAAGAAGTATATATTGAGCATATACTGTGTGTCTGGCATCCTGCTATGCATTTGAGATATAGAAATAAATAAGCTCCTGACCCACTAGGCGCTCGAGGGAGACAGGTATGTAAATTAACAACTCAACACGTTCAGTGCTATAATATGCTGTGCGAGCCCAGTAAAAGAGATCATTGATTCTATTTGTTGATGTCGGGAGGCCTTACAGAGGTGAAACTTTAGTGTCCTAAATTTGGTTGCAAGAAAGTCACGATTATTTTCTCAACTGCTGTGGAGTAAGTGAAGTGGAACAGAAGATAGGGGAATTTTAAACTCTGAACAAAATTTTCCTGGGCCTACACTGTTCACTGGTTGTCTGGCGATCCTAGAGTGTAAATCAGCTAGATAAAATTATCTTTAAACATGAGTTTAAAAGATAAATGGGATATGTTATCATGGGATAATCTGCAAGATAATCTTGACTTTCTTCTCAATATAGAAATAAAACTTGGCATCAACTTTGACAAGGTTTAGTTAGTTTGTAACTGCAAATTCCTCAGTATCGGGTTGGCTCCCTCACAGGGCTGTGAGCTACTTGAGGGCAGGAGCTCTGTCCTTTGTATCCTTGGCAAAGGCAGGAGCTGTGTCCTTTCTTTGAATCCTTGGCGCCTATAGACCAAGTCTGGCAAATTAAGTACCCGATAAATGTTTGAGATTTGATTGGCGGGATGGATAGAGAAAACTAACATCAACCTTGTTACTGGCATGCATCAGAGCTACGAACACCACGGGACTCAAGGCATTCTTTTTAGGATCGCGATCTCCAATATGTCACTGTTAAATTCACTGGACACAGGGAAAAGTCTCTCGTTCTAAGTTGTCTTTGAAGGTGATTGGCAGAAATATTCAACCTGTATGGGAAGTTGTGCTGGCCTGAGTCCCTATGAGAAGAGAAAACCAAAAAGCTCTTCCACTTCCCCCGCC